AAAGGAATAGGAATCTTCAATCTGGGAATAAAAATTGCGGCTTTATTTAATTAATTTTATTCACATCATAAGTAAGTAAAACCAGATATTGTATAAAATATAAATAGAAAATTTGCATATTATCTTGTTATATGTTTATTCAATGTCACACATTCCATCTTATATACGCACTGATTGTAAAATGCGCGCTTAATATTTGTTATACAGGGTGTCCGAAAAATCGCCTACTCCACTTCGGGAGGTGATTTGGGACCCAAAAACAAGCAAAAAAGTTCATACAAACATAGGTCCGGAAATGAGCCGTTTCCGAGTTATATAGCCACTTTTATATTCAAAAATCGTAATTTAGAATCTGCTTGGCATCCCTCTTTCTTAATTATTTCTTAAATTAAAAAATTTTATTTTTAAATATTTTTAATTTTTTTAATTTTAATTTTTTTATTTTTTTTCAATTTTTCAATATTTGTAAATACGATTACATTATTTTTAAAAGAAATCAGTTGTTTTCACGGCTACTTGAAATCAGTTGTTTTCACGGCTACTTAAAATCAATTGTTTTCACGGCTATTCAAAATCAGTTGTTTTCACGGCTACTTGAAATCAGTTGTTTTCACGCCTATTCAAAATCAGTAAGTAAATCACGGCTTTTCAATAAGTTTCAAATTATTATTTAACAACACCTTACTTTTAGGTTGTATCTAATCTTTCCGTATTCATCAATGGATCGTTTAAGTTTTAATGAATTAGCTGATATGCATCTTATATATGGTCTTGCTCAAAGTAATGCTGCCGAGGCAAGAAGATTATACATCCAGTCTTTTCCAAATCGAGATGTACCGGAAATATCGTCTTTTCGAAATGTAGACAGAAACTTGAGAGAATTTGGTAATTCTAATTAAAAAAAATTGAAAATAAAAATTTGCGATTTTTGAACATAAAAGTAGCTATAACTCGGAAACGGCTCATTTTCGGACCTATGTTTGTATGAACTTTTTTGCTTGTTTTTGGGTCCCGAATCACCTCCCGAAGTGGAGTAGGCAATTTTTCGGTCACCCTGTATATACAATTTGTATATAAAATTATACAATATTATAAGAAACATTTGTACATATTAACAAATATATTATTTATTAAAAAATCACTTTGTTAAAATCACAGATTACGCTTGGTAAAATATTTGTTTTTAAAACCACACAATAATATAAAAGACATATTAATACGATTATTCTCGCAGTTGATATATATTTTTCGCGTTAAAAAACTGTCGATTGTTACATTTAATACTGATTGACATTGCAATAATAAATACTCAGTGAATATACGGGGCATTCCACGCCAATTCGCAAGGGGTCAAACTTCGACCTTTTTATTTTTGATGGCCGCTCGTTTTTTAACAGGTCTTTACGAGTATTAGACCCCTGTTAAATCGTTTCTATAATAAATGTAGCGTTTCCGAAATAGAGCCTGCGCAAAATGAGGACTGCAAAATTTTCAATGAATTTTTTCGCCTATTAGACAACGTCTAAGAAAAAAATTCATTGAACATAAAATACGCTATTTAGATCATAGTTTAAAAAAAAAATTATCCCAAATTTTTATAATAATGATTTTAAACTAATAAAGTAAAAAAACACAAAAATTTGAATATCTCAAAAACCCCATTTTCTATTTTTTTGAAATTTATAGGGAATATTCTAGGAAGTATTAGAAAAATTTTAAGACTAGTTGGAAGTTGCGCAGAATTTTTGGGAATTTTTTATAAATTTTTTTGTGAGGCAGTAGTAATATTTGACTCACAAAAGTGTAGTTAAAAACGCGTTTCAGACAATTCTGAATCGATTTAGATATACTTTTTTACTAAAGCATGATGAAGATCTCGGCATATATAGCACACGACAATTGCGATGAATAGTGTGGGAAAGGCGAAAAAAATAGATTTATGAGGAAGTTTAATTCAATAAGTACATTTGTTTAAGAACATATTATTTATAATTTTATTATTTTGTGCTCAGTATAATCATTCGAAAATGAGTAATCTTTAACAATTAATTTATAATTTTTGGTATGACTTGGTATGTCGCAGTGGACACGTTGAGTCTAAGATATTCTTTTTGTTTGATCGTACCGATCTGTCAAAAATTCGGCGGCAATTAAGTATTGGGACAAAAAAAATTATGAAATTGCCGCCGAATTTTTGATAGGTCGGTACGATCAAACAAAAAGAATATCTTAGACTCAACGTGTCCACTGCGTCATACCAAGTCATACCAAAAATTATAAATTAATTGTTAAAGATTACTCATTTTCGAATAATTATACTGAGCACAAAATAATAAAATTATAAATAATATGTTCTTAAACAAATGTACTTATTGAATTAAACTTCCTCATAAATCTATTTTTTTCGCCTTTCCCACACTATTCATCGCAATTGTCGTGTGCTATATATGCCGAGATCTTCATCATGCTTTAGTAAAAAAGTATATCTAAATCGATTCAGAATTGTCTGAAACGCGTTTTTAACTACACTTTTGTGAGTCAAATATTACTACTGCCTCACAAAAAAATTTATAAAAAATTCCCAAAAATTCTGCGCAACTTCCAACTAGTCTTAAAATTTTTCTAATACTTCCTAGAATATTCCCTATAAATTTCAAAAAAATAGAAAATGGGGTTTTTGAGATATTCAAATTTTTGTGTGTTTTTTTACTTTATTAGTTTAAAATCATTATTATAAAAATTTGGAATAATTTTTTTTTTAAACTATGATCTAAATAGCGTATTTTATGTTCAATGAATTTTTTTTCTTAGACGTTGTCTAATAAGCGAAAAAATTCATTGAAAATTTTGCAGTCCTCATTTTGCGCAGGCTCTATTTCGGAAACGCTACATTTATTATAGAAACGATTTAACAGGGGTCTAATACTCGTAAAGACCTGTTAAAAAACGAGCGGCCATCAAAAATAAAAAGGTCGAAGTTTGACCCCTTGCGAATTGGCGTGGAATGCCCCATACATATTCGATCTCATATATACATATACATTTTACAAACTTTCTTTAAAAAAAGTAATTTAAAAAAGCTTAATTATAAGTAGAAGTAATCTCTCTCTTTTAGATAAGATTTGCTAATATCTATTGCACTATAGGTTTTGTTAAAAGTGTTACGCATTCAGTAAACTTGCAGATAATTATATTACATAAATTAATGAATGTATTACATAATTATGATTGTTCGTGCACTCGCAAATAGACAAGTAGCTATATTGGATTTGCTTATGTCTGTGTTATCACAATGCATAGCTACCTATCTTTGTACAGAAATTAATTTTAAGGACTATATAGTGTCTCGCTATAAACTGTAACAATTTGCGACGATTATGCATAGTTCAACATTCACGCGAGAACACTTCTTCCTCTTGTATTATTAAAATTTTGCTATATTATTTTTCTCTGAATATTGTATTGTAGAAAATAATCTAGGTATGTAAATGATGATCTTTAGACTTATTCAAGGCTTGTAAAAACGTTAAAAAGTGTTTCGATGTCAATTAATTAGTATAGCAAAGTCTTGACTGAGTTTATCATATTAATTGACAATTACGCTTATTTAATAATATGACGCAGTCAGTCGTTTCAGCGACTTAAATTGTATCTATAACATAAAATCGTAAATGAGGTACTGTCAGATATTCACATCTTCGTTCACATTAATAATACTGAAGCGCTTAAGTGGCTGCTTCTCCAACGTATTATTTATTTAGTTCTTTGCAGTGAAACGTTAGCTCTCCATGGAAACATGCGACGTCCCTAGTAATAAATTATATGTTTGACGACATTGACACTGTTGCAAAAATATTGCTTACTAATCTACTATTTTTTAAATAAAATATGTGATAAATATATGTGTGTGTGTGTGTATAGATAGCCCGTTTTAGTCTTTACAAACGAGTATTTATGTATATCTGAAAAACTAAATTGAACTTAAATAATTAAATACATGCAAGTCAAATAGAAGAGAATAGCTTATAGTGGACAAAGTTAATAGAAACTTATATCGTCGGCTATATGTGGTAGCCTGCTCATAAGTAAAATATAATATTTGCGTTAATTACCGTTTGGCATGCACTGTATTCGCTGTCGTCATCGTCGCTGGAACTGATAATTCTCGGGGGCTCCTCGTTTCTACGAAGGATTTTCAGTGGTTTGTACGTGTTATACGTCAGCCATAAATAATCAGGTATTAAGCAAGTAACGACGATAAGTACAGTAATTAACCAGAACGAAGGCGACTTTAATAATATTGGGAAGACCCCATACATATCGCCATCGTATTTCCTAAAAACAAAATTTTGTAAATAAAAAAATAATTTTTATTTGTAAATATAAATGTGCTATATTTTTAATCCCCACAATTGTTTTTATTATTGTGGATTTTGTACTTACATATTTAGGATTGAATAGCAAAAAGAAGTTACGAAAAATACTAATTCAGACAGTACTACGCTTAGAACGAGTGGGATTGTCCAATACGAACTGCGCAATAATATCTGAAACAATATTATCGTTAACACCGAGCCTAAATCTATTGAAAACATTATGTAAAACTTGTGTAGAACTTATGTAAAACTACGCAAAATATTTGCTAGTGATTCGTGTCATTATTAAATTACAGAAATAAATTTGGATATAAATTTTCAAGTTATAAATAGCAAAATGACCGAATTATTCGGCTATTAAAAGCATTTAAGAGGTATTGAATTTTATATTAAACTGTTTTGCGTTTGTCAGAGTAAACCGCTGTTTTACAATCTCAACTGAATGTACAAACAACGCATACACTTTGACGTACCTGCAGATTTGCTAGCAAAGTGACTATATGAAAAATGCATGTGCTGTAAGTCCAATGGTCAACCGAGGTGTTGTCATACAAATACGTAGGATTTATATACGTCACAGCAAACACTGTAAAATACGTTACGCCTGTATGCCATAATCCTAAAAAGAATAATGTGATGTAATCAGTATTTGTCTGCAAAATAATATTTATTAATAATAAAATAATATGATATTAATTTGTGCACGAACCTAAGAGCAGCCACGCCATGAATTGTTGTCTTGACATTAAATAATTGTTTCTATTTAGTTTATACAAGTACGGATGCTCCATAAGCTTCTTCGCGTTGTAATTCTGTTCTAGTAATGCGTAAATCAATACCGGAAACGAAGTGAATATTAAGTTAAAACCCATTAGAAACATACCGTCATAAAGTTCCTATAAAAATATATATTTTTATAAATCTTTCATCTATAAAATCTATATAATTGTAAAATATATTCTCTTTTGTACTTTCCAAAAAAATAGGATATGCTTTTTTAGTTTAGGATATAACGTTGCCAAATTATTAGACAATAAAATTTATTTAAAAGATACGCAAGAATTAAAAAATAAACCTGTTTAGTAATTCGCGAATTGAAATAAGAAAATCGTGAATGTACTTTAAAATGTTATTAAATCGAATGTATGTACGATGCGAAGAAAAATAAATCACTTTATCTATGTATTGCGGGAATAAGATCGGAATTTTCGACATGCAATAGAGACATAGATAGTAATGTTATCGTTACCTGCGTGGAGAAACCATTGTGTATGCTGAACAGCACCTGCGGCGTTATGAACACCACGTTTTTGTAGAAGAAAAACTGCGTCTGGATGGCGATGCGCAGGTAATACCAGTGTCCGTGCACCAGCAACGCTTTTCTCAGATACTTAAACTTCGTGAAGGCGAAGTCAGCGGATATCGACGCCTGACGGCCCTCTTTCCCCATTATTCCGATACCTACGTGCGCTTCCTGTATCATCGAGACATCATTACCACCGTCGCCGATGGCCGCGGTGTGCGGACGGCTCCGTGACGTTTTTATTAGATGCACAATCTGCAAAGATAAGTAGAGATAACCTAATGACGTCTTCGCGTTTTTCTATGCAGTGCAGCGTTCGGGAATCGGGGAAAGTTCAAACCTCGCTCTTTTGCAGGGGCGTCAGCCTACAACAGACAACCGCCTCGCAGGTCATTGCGACGGATTTGAATAATTGTGGACAATTTCGTAACGTCGCCGCTATGCTCACACCGTCTATTATCAACCCGTACTGCTTGTACGGTTCTAGTTTTATTTTCCGTCTGTAAGATAGTTTACAGAAATATATTATAAACTAATATAGTATATTTTTTAAGTAATATCACAAGCTTTCTTTGTTGAAAGAAATACTTTATCTTTCGGATAACTGCGTTTGGATAATTTTACGCTTTATCCTTAATTTCTTTTGGATATTATTTTTGCTATGTATATAAATGCATATTGGAAAGCAAAAAATAGCGGAATAATAATTTATACATTTATTTATTTAGTTATTTATTACTTTGATAAATTTTTGTCTCGAATGAAAAGTACGACTTACTGCGCGAGAAATAATAGAGGTTACCGCGAGTTAACGAGTTAACTAAAAAAAGGTATAAAATTTTGGATGTGCAAACTGCACTCACTCGAAACTTGTGAGAACCAGGAAGCAGGTTTGCACTGAGGTTTCGTCCGTCAGTCTTAGAATTTCGGTACCCTTCTTGAAATGGCCGCACAAGAAAGCGATGTTCTCCGCAGTCTCTGCCTTATCTCCAGTAAGCACCCATATCTAAAAAGAAATATTTGCGATTGTCGTTTAAAGTTAATTTAATTAATCCATCAGAACAGTAATTAATTTATCAGAACTGTCTCTAACACTCTATGTGTTTTAAATTATATTTTTATAGCTTCGATACATGGAGAGTATGGTATAAATCTCTAATAATATTAAAATAGCTGAATAATAGTACTGAAATAAAAGTAAGATAATTAAATTAATTGTCTGAAAAGTTACAAAATGGAGAGTAAATCTATAGCTAAAAAATTGATAAATCCATTGGCGATCATTGCAGTATGTGACGCGTGGGTAGCAAAGGATTTCTTTGGCAATCCGCACAAAGGCAGTGCAGTGAACTAACTTTGATGCCAGCGACTCGTAAGCATTCCAAGGTCTCTTCCACTTTGTCCTGCAGGCGATCCTCTACCGCAGTTACTCCGAGCAAGGTGAGGCCGCTCTCCATAAGATTGTACGCTCGCGTTAAATGCGTCTCTCTCTCCGTACCGATTATCTGTCTAGCCTGCTCGATGTTCTGCATCAGGCTTTCGTACTCGGAATACTGCATCTTTTTGCACGCCACTACCAACGTTCGCAGACCTCTCTGAAAATTAAGAGACTTTAATAGCTTCTATAATGTAAAACACAAAATTATCACAAACGTATGACAAAGCAGTATCAGAATTGTAAATTTTTTGTGCATGTATAAGAAGAAAACTCTTTTCGAAATTGTTGTGGAGAAAAGTGAAAGGGTTCTCTGCAGTCTCCGCTTTAGCTCTAGATTAAGTTCTGCGATTATCGCAAACGGGATAACGAACCATAGAGAAATCGGCGACGTGGGTAGTGGCCTTTTGTATCTGTCCTTCAACTATCAATGGCAGAAGTGCCGAATCTGCACCCTTGCAGTATAGCCAGATATCCTCCGACGAGTCTTTCACTATTACTGACATCCTCTTGCGTTCTGTTCAAAATACGTAATATCAGACATTTATCGCTATATCTATTACAACTACTTTAAAATCTTAGGATTCAACTATTTGAATAATTTATATATTGCTCTAATCTCTCATTTTAATTACAAACGTATTTATGAATGATGTTGATTCTCAATAATATTTATATATATCTGATTTCTTTAAGCCTACGTCGTAAAAAAATATATAAAATTACATGAACAACGTGTGTAAAATTTATATAAAATGCGTGTTCCGTCTCATTATAAACCGTATAACTTTTATACTTGTTTATGTAATCTTACATACTTTTCTTACAGCGTGATTATTTTATTATTATGTATTTATAGAATATTAATTATTATTTGATCTCAATTAGAGCTTATTCAGCTCTGATATATTCTGATATTCACAATCACATACCAGAGGTGAACTCCAGTATCTCCAGTTTCTCGAAGATCAGATTGCTCTTGTTGATCTTGATGTGCATCTCCTCGTTAGTATTCTTTTGTAAAACAACGCCGCACCTGGCGCTCGCCTCCACCAACGCCTTCTCGTCTGCCGACGCCGCCTGCCATATGTCATGTGTGTTTGTATATCTCTTTACGTAGTTTCAATCGTGTTCGTTTACGTTTCGTCTTACAAGTCATTAGCGGAATCTTATCAGGGGACGCGCTACCGCGAATTCGACGTTCGCGTACGCGAGCTGTTATTTTTACCTGATATTCCGGCAGATCCGGATGCATCATCAGCGAGCTGTTGACTCTCGTGATTTTTTTCAATCTGAAGCTCTCACGGAACAGAGTGCGTCTGGCTATAATCTCGGGACGGTGGCTCGGCGGTGCAATTTGCACTATGTGGCATAGCGATAGACTTATCACGAAATGCCAAATTTCAGCCTAGAATTATCGATCTTTTAATAACGGTATTTTAATAACAAGCAGTAATTTAATAACAGACTAAAATTATTGCAAGCACAGTATCATTTGGCAAGCAGTACGTTAACTATGTACGTTCAGGATTTGTACTAATATACAACCATCATTGATTATTATTTCATTAATAATTATAATTAGCTTTGATTATTATTAATAATTCAATATTTGTTGATAACTGCCGACAAATATTTGCACGATAGTTAATGTAATTACTCTTGCATTAAATGACATACAATGACCGGTATGATCTCTCATATTAATTGCAGCGCGCAAATTATTTTTTTGACTAAAATAAATTTTGTAATTTATTTTAATAATTCTCTCTCTTACTGATAATCTTTTTAATGATAATTAGTATTTCTTCTTCTTCTTTTACCTCCCACGATGATATTTTGACAGCCTCTTGCTCGTTTCCGCTTGATGGCAATAAGTACAGATTTCCGTCGCAATCCTTCTCCATATACACGTTGCCGTTGACCGAGCAGCGTCTGAACACCATCAGATTTTCTGTGAGCGTGCCGGTCTTGTCGGTAAACAGAAATTCAACCTGGCCAAGCTCTTCGTTCAAGTCTGACGTATTGGCGAGCGCCGGCTGATCGTTGGTCTTGTCGTACATATCCAAGTCCCAGCCGAAGAAAAAAGAGCCAAGAAACTTTTGCAATTCTGTCGAATTAACGCACGTAAACCTTCACCAACATTATATAGAATCTTTTTACGAGTACATCTTGTAAATATATAATACATATTTTTACTCTACAAACGCGGCGTGTTTCAAAAGAAATAGACTAATTTAAATAATTTTAAATGTTTCATAAATAGCTTTATACTGAATAAGAATATAAATAATTTTAACAGAAAGGAACTATGGAAGAATGTCTTACCAGCGGTGGTGTATAATGATATCGGCACGATGTAATTGAATAAGATAAGAAAGCTCAGAATATCCGTAATTAACGAGGAAAAATTGATTTTAGGTTGTGGACCTAGGTAACGGTCCCATTCTTGGTAGGTTTCAATGTATAGCTTCAGCATGGTGCACACCAACACTTCAATCAACAGTATCACGATATATACAATAATATACTTATTGATAGATCTACGAATGATAACGTTCAAATAAGTGTAAAGTTGAACTGTAAGTTACCTCTATAGATAGCAATATTTCTTTAAGCTATTTGCAACATTTGTAAAGGCGATGGCAGGTAGTAATAGCGAAAATGCATGGGAGCGGAAGACTTAGCAGAAGCTAAATAGCGATCGAGTTCTTATAAAATAAAGCTCGAACGTAATTACTTCTCGGCAGTGGAGAATTTATTGCTGACTGTCTTTGAATTGAGCGACAATTTTGTATCCTGCCCGGTGTAAACCGCGCAGCCGACCACATATTCGGTGTCTTTCAGTCTAGATCCGCGCAGCATAAGATTCTCTACTGTCAGTTGCCCGCTAGTCGTCTCGCTGCCGTCTTTAATCTCGAGCTTGCCGTGGAAGGTGTAAAGATTGGCCAAGGGTTGCTGGCACGTAATCGACGCTTGCATTGCCACTATCTGCGGAAGCGGCATCGCCGAGACCACTTTCGGGACGTGTAACGTCTAAAAAAAATTATATTTATAATTACGGCAAATAATATTTCTAGAGGTATAACGAAATTTTAATTTCTCATGGCATAGCAGGTCTTGCTAGTAAGAAAATATGACCCACTTTAAAAAGGTCGAGTGTGAAGATAACTACCTTTAAGTTTGTTTCGCCGTCGAGATTGGACGTCGTGACGTAACAACATCCCGGAGTCTCGCTATAGAGCAGGACGATATCGCAGGGCACATCCTCGTTCCGAGAGACTTTCACCAGATCGCCCACCACTATTTGCTCGCAATATATGTCCTGCAATGTATCACGTATTATTTATGAGTGAAACATGAGGATACACTTAATCTGACGATTCCGGACTGTTAGAAATTATCTTATCTTTACTTCAATCTTCAATCTTTTAAATCATCAGAGACAGTATTGACAACTCTTATATAGTAGACACGTAAACTGCAAACTATTTAATATATATATTTTACACATATATATTAAAAATCTTACATATAGACATATAAATACTGTAAAGGTATATTTTGTTTTATTACTGTAAGCATTAAAATTAACGGCACTTTAGAATTGGGATCTCATAATCAGCGTAGACAATATGCGTGACGAACCTGCGTACATTTGTTACGGATGACACTGACTGACCTCCGATTATCTCGCTTATCCGTTTTGTAACGTAGATAATCTTCGTATCCCTGTTTACACGCGGTCACCAGGATGACAAAGAATAGAGGTAAAGCGCTAGTTAACGGGGAAATCGGCGATTCTATCGCTACCGCGATTATCGTCGTGATCAGGAAATAAATATTCGCCACACGCCGGAATTGCTCGAAGAGATTTTTTGGAATAAAGTTCCATATCGTATACTGTAGATCAAACAAAGATAAGTGTGATTATCGCTCTATGGTACGTTTAAACGAGAGTTCTAGGAATTATGAATTATTTCGAGATATCAAGTTAAACGTCGTTAGATAATATCTGCTTACGTTATTTGTATATTAAGTCTTTAAAATTTTACAAGATAAAAGAAATGGAAAATACTTACCTTGTGCGATACGATTCGATTGCTAACGAAATGTTTTTCCAATGAATTGTTTTCAGAATTAATCTTCACGACTCGGTGATCGCTAGGTGTCGAGGTGGTCGCGCCCTGTAACAAAAGCATGTTAGCAATTTGAATGTAATTATGAACCAGATTTATGTTGAGATTGAAGATTTTGTAAAATTTTTTAGATACTTGGACCAAAATATTAATCAAATTCTTAATTTTGCTAAATTGTACATATATTATTTCGTTTAAAACTGTATATTAAACTTATTTAATAAAACTAAGCTCAGTTTTATTAAAAATTGCATTAAATTAAAGTATGTTATCAAACTAGATAAATCGTCGGAATAAAAAATTGTCTTTTAAATAATAAATTTTTCAAATAATTTAAAAGAAAGAAATCAACTATGCTTTGTTGAAAATGCAATTCACGTATAAAACTCTTCTGAGGAATGTAGCATTAGGAACGTGAATTTCGTTTCAAGTCTCGCTCGGAATTCTTATCTCGCCCGAAACGAAGATCAATCGCGAATCTAGCTACAACCATGATATAGAAAGGTTAATCGGAAATCATGACGTAAAGTAACATCGTGCATAAAATTATCTGTTCGCTCAATCAGTTTGCGAGATAAAATTTCAAAAATTTCTTAGTTGTTTGACTTTTCCATTATTTCTCACGTGTAATAGCACTCGGTTGTGCCGCGGCGACAAATGGGGCGATGTACGCGAAAGCGCAACGTTATCGGAGCGCACAATCCGTCGTGTCGCGTTTATACCGACAATTCATACACTATCTTAATCCGAGCTGGAAAAGCCCTAAGTGTAGACCAATTACCGAGCAATTTTATAAAAGTAATCCGACACGCTGCAAACACGACGGTGACAATGGCGATAGGAAGGATAACGTGCTTAACATGATCAATAACCAGTACTTGGATCACATTTACAAGGCATGGCTCGAGGATCGAAAATCCGTGAGCTCCTCGTGGGACTCGTATTTTAAATTGATCCACGCGAAAAGCCCTAAGGACTCTCGCGCCAAGCCCAGTTCGATCCGCGTCAGTTCGTCTCCTAAGTTAATGACGTCGAACTTAGAAGGAGGGCAATCAGGCAAGAGTGAGTTTTGAATTCTATTACAGATTAGATTAGGTTCCTAGATTAATATTGATATGATTAATATTAAATTCGCAGTATCGATGTGTCAATTATAATTACAATTTAAAATAGTGAATTAATTTTATCATACGTAAAATAGAAATTATGAAAGTTTAAAGCTGTACAATGATTTTATAATTATCCTGTATTCGATTTTATGACTATAGAAAGAAAAATATTAACATAATAACATATAATAACGATGTTTACTATATATCCGTAATAATTATAAATGCATTATGTGGATCGATTAGAAGTACTAATCATGTTTTCGGATAAACGCTTAGCAGGACCGTCGTTTCCGAAAGAGTCCGTTCGAGAGAAATCAAACAGTCAGATGCAGGGGGATCAATATATAATCGGCGCACTCGATATCAATGCCACGATCCGAGCCTATCAAGTACTTATCGCTCCGCGAGACTTTTTTACACACACTTACACTCCCCGTATCGACGTTTATTTCTTTTATTCGCTCAAAAGGCACGTGGCCATTTGATAGCCGACACCGATCCGTTGGGCATACAGAATTCGGAGTCGGCAAAGTTGCAGGGCACCGCGAATCTGCCACCCGCGATTGTGGTGCGGCAGCATCTCAAGGGAATGACGGAGGCGGACATGAACAGGGAATTTCCTCTCGCGTCACTGACCGTTATCGGGGGCGATAAGAGGAGCTTGCCGCTTCGGGAGATACTGACGAGGCTCAACAAGATTTACTGCGGTCACTTAGGTCTCGAGTACACGTACATTCATGACCTCAATATGGTACGCACGACACGATTTCAATTATGAGAAATACTTAGTGCGCTTAGAAATGACCGAAATATTAATTTTTTAAACTTTTAACTGGTAATAAGAAAAAGAGGAACACATAAAGACTAGATAATTTTCTATTTCGTAATTGTATTATTTCTCTAAAATTTCGTTTTTCTGGGAAATGTTATTTTCGTACATTAAATCAGTGGACATTTTATTGGTTGAAATAGAAACATAGGATTTCGTTGAGGATTAGTGAATATTTCATCCCAAGCATTTAGTTTTTTTCTTATATTTCATTGATTGTGTTGGAAGTAAGATTCCATTATAAAATTAATAGTAATCATACTGATCGTATTTGCAAGATGCAGTTTCCGAATATGTTCTTGAAAGATTGCACTTGAACGCGATACCTTGAACTTGTCGCGCGTAAATACTTGTTGATAAGTCAAATTACGAAACTGATGTCTCGTACTGATTGCAGGCTATATGTGTAGTTAAATCAAATATCCGTTTAAAATCAGACTTTAGCTCGGTTAATATAAGGATAAACCAGAAACAAAAATGGAAAGACTCACGTTAAAACTTCGACTTTAAAAAAGAATCTTTGTGAGCGCGTGTTTGCGAAGATCTCAGTTAATAAAGAAATTTTTTGTCAATCAGGATATATTCAACGTTATCGTGTAAAGAAATTGTTCATAAAAAAAGATATATAGAACTGTAAATTATGCGCTTTATTAGTTAGATTGGTTGAGGGAGAAGTTTGAGATACCAGGCGCCTGGGAATTGCCCGCGGAGCACCGGAAGTGGGCTTGGATGAATATTATGAGAGCCGTGAGTTTCGAGAACTTTTTAGCAAAGAAATACGGAACTGAGAAGAGATTTGGGTTAGAAGGCTGCGAATCGTTCATTCCGGCCATGGCGGAATGCATGGAAACATCTGCACTAAATGGTAACTAAAACTGATTCTCGAACCAGGTTTTAATTTAAGCGATTTCTCCGAGCTTCTGTAAAAGCTCAGAAATTACTTGGTATCTTTAATTTTATTTCTCTTTTATCCTAATTTATTTGCCTTATTTATTGGCTAGGAGTCGGAACTATAGTTATCGGTATGGCGCATCGCGGTCGTCTAAATACTTTGGCGAACATCTGCTCGAAACCGATGAGCCAGTTGTTCACTCAGTTCAACCCGATCGCTCTTGAGGGATTCGGTTCCGGTGACGTGAAGTATCACCTCGGGACGCATTCGGAGAAATTATTAGAAAGGTGAAGAAAGCCACCGTAATGCAAAATCGGTTTTAGTACGCAAATATGTCGGGCATCAATACCTAAACTTATATTCCAAGTTGCGACGGGAGAGAGGAACATTTATCATATTTAATTTACTTTTGTAGAATTATAAATTATTACTTTGTAGAACCAAGAAGAAAGTGCTTCTCGCCATAATGGCGAATTCCTCCCATTTGGAAGCAATCGATCCGGTCATAGTTGGTCGTGTTCGCGCTGAGCAAGTCGAGAAAGGTGACTCTAAACGTACGTATTGAAAACGTGTTGTTTCCTAACGGACGAGAATAGACTTCCTTCAAATAAACCGACTTCTTCAGACGGTAAAAAATCGTTGGCTATACTGGTTCACGGTGACGCCGCTTTTGCCGGCCAAGGTGTCGTTTACGAAACGATGCATCTTACTAATTTGCCAGAGTACACAACGGGTGGCGTCATACACATCGTAATTAATAATCAAGTAGGAATAAGTTTCTCTATAATGACAATATTTCCTGAATTTTATGGATATTAATTAATCCTAATTGAATAAGTTTTAATCCAAATTTAAGTACTTAAATTTTAAACCTACTTCTCTAAAGAAAAGCTGGCATCAAAATTAATTAAATTGAAAGTTAATATTTGTATAAAACTGTCTTTAGTACATATAATTAATATGAATACAATTTTTGTGTATCCGTTTATTTTTACACATCAAGTTATTAAATAATTGATAAGATATTAAATAAAACCTTCAACAATTGTAAAGTTAGCAGAAGAGGATAATTTATTTTAAATATATATATATTAATAATTCTAGATTGGTTTTACAACTGATCCAAGATATTCACGATCCAGTGCGCATTGTACGGATGTCGCACGTGTCGTTAACGCTCCCATTTTTCACATACATGCCGATGATCCCGATTTAGCTACTTATTGCAGTAAGGTGGCCAGTGAATATCGGTAAATTATGATACTATTCATTTTTCAGTTTTTATCGTGTTACTTTAAAAGATTCTGTGTTTTGGCTGTTGATTTATGTTCTTTATGTTCTTATGATTATGTTCTTTAATTTTTTAATTGTTTAATCTCAAGCGTTTTATTTAAGGAATAGAAGCTTATTAGTATAAATGCTAAATAAATTATTATAAAAATTTGTTTGACAATTAGATAACAAGTTTTATGGTAAAAATTAAAACATTGCAATAAATAACGATTTCTTACACATTTCTTTTTATAAAAAAAACTTATTTAAATTAGGCAAATAATCTATTCCTGCAGTAAAAATTGAAAATTATTTACAATAAAATGTAAAATTTATTTAATAATATAAGAATTATGATTGAAATAATCAAAAGAGAATCAATAAAGAATTAACAAAGCTTTACTAACTACTAATGTTATATCAGGGCTACCTTTCATAACGATGTAGTATTGGACATTGTTGGATACCGAAGAAACGGTCACAACGAGATGGACGAGCCGATGTTAACTCAACCGCTCATGTATAAACGAATAAAAAATCACCCCAGTGTTCTATTCATATACACCGACAAACTGCTTAAGGAGGGCGTGATAACGGAAGCTTTCGCAAAGGAGGTTGAGAAAGACTATAATTAGCTGCTTTAAATCCTGCCGGTTTAATCCGTTACGCATATATGCACGCACAATTTTTCTTTGTGCGTAGGAAATAGAAAAGTACGTGAGCCATTGCGAGGAAGAATTCAGAAAAGCGCAGACCATCAGCTCGATGCAAATGAGCGACTGGCACGACTTGCCCTGGACCGAATTCTTCTCGAATCAGACTCCGAAAAACAAGATACCGCCAACCGGTATCGATATCGCGACCATTAAGACGATATGCAGTGCTATATCCACTCCCCCGAAGGATATCGAGGCGCATGTTCAAGTTAGCTGCATACACGTTTCACCGTGGAAGCAAAATGGATTAATTTTCCTGTCTTATATAGAAATGTCCAATCTGCGACTGACAAATTATCCGTTTAATTTGTCTCAGAAATCATGCATCTTCGGTGAAATTTCGAGCTCGTATCTCTCTTTCATAAAATTTGCCGATTAGCTGAGGTCATAAAGGCGAAACAAGTTTTCGATCGATTACTGTTCGGACTTGATCTGTCTATCGAACGCGTAGGTGCTGAGGGCGATGGACAGGCGAGCGAAACTCATGGAGTCTCGACAGGTCGATTGGGCGATGGGGGAGTGCCTGGCCTTCCTCAGCCTGTTGAAGGAGGGTCATCATGTCAGATTGTCCGGGCAGGACGTGGAGCGTGGCACCTTCACCCAACGGATACACATCATTCACGATCAGAGCAGAGACAAGCTCTACAAGAACATCCTGCGCGACGTCTTCCCGAGACAGGCTCTGTACACCGTCACGAATTCGTCACTGTCGGAATACGGCGTGTGCGGTAAGGAGGAATTAGCTAGTCACTAGCTGGCTGTTGTGTCACAGTATACGTGTCGATAACGCTATCTATTCCTGTTACGCGCCTATCTTATTCACGTCTTATCGATAATACATCCGTTTATTATATTCCTCGAACGTCAATAGCCCGGCAACCTTGAAATCTAGGCAATTATCCAGCAAGCTCCAGTAAACTGCTAAGTTTTTACATTCGAGAAAGTTTAACAGTAAACTCGAGGCAGGCGTACAATATTATATTTGTAGTATTAGCTAATAAAATAAATATAGTATTGAGATGTATTGAGATTAGCGCGTGCTAGAGTCTTATTTGACTGAATTATTCACGGTGATTTACGATAATTGATATCTTATGAATTTTTGATGAAAAAAGGGTTCGAACTGGGATACTCAGCGTACAATCATAATACTCTGACACTCTGGGAAGCACAGTTCGGCGACTTTGCCAATACCTGTCAGGTAATTTTAATGATAAATTACGGCCTTCTCACTTTAGCGAGAAAGTTTGATTTTCTTACTTTATTAACTTTTGACTTCCAATATCAAGTATTTTGATAAGTTTAATTTTCCTTTAAATTTCTAGTTAAAGTTAAAATTAAATGGAGCATCGATCTTCGCGATTCGTATTGTATATTCCGAAAGAATAATCGCGATATTTTATAAGAATGTCTGCCGCCTGTGACTCTAAATTGCTCCTTAGGTTATACTAGACTGCTTGCTATGCTCCGGACAAGCCAAATGGGGCAGACAGGTAGGATTGGTACTGTTGCTGCCGCACGGTTTGGAGGCTCAGGGACCGGAACACTCGTCCGCCAGATTGGAAAGATTTCTTCAGCTGTGCGACGACGAGGGTACTCACGTGCCCGGAACGGAGCCCGGTGCTCCCACCGGTGAGACCGTCGAGCAAATCATGACGAGACAGATTTTCGAAATAAATTGGATCGTCTGCAATCCCACGACACCTGCCAATCTGTTTCATCTTCTGCGTCGACAGATATTGATGCCGTTCCGCAAACCGTTGGTTAGTTCAATCTTTATCTATGCAAAATGTTTTATCTACGCAGAGTGCTTTTACTTTTTAAATAAAATAATTATAACTGAATTTATCACTAACCGAAAACAGATCTGATAGTGTATACTCTTTGTTACATTTTCTTTTTTTCTTCTTTTTACAATGTTATGTCGAAAAATTTATTTAAATATGTGATCGAACGAATCAACCGTTCAATGTTATAATAATTAATAATTTTGAGGAATATGGAAACAGTATATCACTAAAATTTATCGCTAAATATTTTCCTCGTAACTTCTGCTTGTAATACTTTTTTTTAAGTTCGGTATTTTTGGAAATATTAGCCTGTAAAATTGAATCTGAAAATATTCTCTGCATTCAAGTGCGACACATTAGATCGTTTCACACAGATCGCGAAATATTTCATTGCGTGAAAATGAACGGTAAGATTTTCCAGCACGTGTTTGCTTATTGACGCGAATTGACTATACTGAAGTCATACTCAAGAATATTCATCAAACATTATCCATTTCTTCCACTTTTTACTGACGTAAATTTAAATTACAATGCGATAGCAAAAAACTAGCCACATCGAACGTTTACATCCCACCAAGTCGCAATTTATGTTGTTTTTGAAGCCTATAATGCTAATCCTTCCATTTTTATCGCATGAATGCGTGATTGTTGACGACTCGATTGTTACATCGAATTAATTTTGTCGGGAGAATTTTTTAAGATGTTTAATCAAATCCACTTCTAAAGTTTAATTAAAATTTTAAAGACCTAAATTTTAAAAACCCATCTGACGTCGCACATGACAAATCGTTTCCCAAATTTTTGTCCATTGTAATAATTGCTTATCTAGTTTATCGCATAAATACTATTTAGGTTATTATGACCCCTAAATCATTGTTGCGTCACCCGATGGCGATATCGAATTTCGAAGAGATGGGACCTGGTACGAGCTTTAAACATATTATACCGGATCCTTCCGCGAACCCCGGAATCGTGAAGAAGGTGTTACTCTGTACCGGGAAAGTATACTACGATCTGATCGTCGAACGACAGGAACGACAGTTAGAAGATAAGATAGCGATTATTAGAATTGAACAACTCTGTCCTTTTCCATATCATTTGTTCGCAGCGGAAATGGCAAAATATCCGCGAGCAAAAGTGAGAAGTTTTTGATTATAATGTACTTGTTGTGTATTTAATTCTAGGATTACACCCCATAGGTCTGCGAAATCTTCAAATCGCTAGCATTCTTGAAATATTCTTTTTTAGACGTTTGCATTTTATACTTTAGTAAGCAGGTCTCAATTTAGATATAATACTCTACGTACGTTTCTTAATTTTTTAGTTTTATGTAGTCTGTGGCGTTTTTCTTAAAAACATTTGTTGAGAAATATGCATTTTCATTAGAGTTACATACAAAAATATTTAGCTGTGTCTGAGAGAGCTGAGTAACCAAGTATGGGGTCCGTAAAAATGTAGGGTGTAGTCTTAAAATTAACGAGCATTTATTTCTTTGAAGATGCTCGATTATTGGCAACGATAGAAGAATAGTTTCGGATTATGTTTTTGTATATACAGATCATGTGGCTGCAAGAAGAGCACAGGAATCAAGGCGCTTATTGTTATGTGAGAGATAGGATAGCCTTAGCCTTGGGCATTCCATTGGAGGACATCAAGTACGGTGGCCGCTCTGCTTCGGCTGCGCCAGCGACCGGTAGCAAGATTATTTATAAGAACGAGCACGATAGCATGATGGCAATCGCGATGAAGATTGATGACTGATTAGTCCCATGTTTCTGCCATGTTAGAAACTTTTTTTTCGGGAAAACGATATCTATTGTGTAAAACGACGTATATTGTGAGAAAATGTACTTATAGCGTGAAATGTATCGTAAAAAGAAAAACCAAACGCAAATTGTTGTCTGTTGCTTTAGAACGTCTATAGGGTCAATTGTCAATTGTCACTATCCATTTAGTTAATAATAATAGCAATTATACCTACGACTAATTCTGATTATCGGATTTGCGCGTAGCTCACTCACCAGGAGGCCATATTCGGCTCTTTCTTGCGTCGCGCACAAAAGAATTACTTTACTCAAACAATTCCACATCACATTTTCGTTTTTATCGCGCTTCCGGAAGACTTCCTAGATACGAGTGCAAGGACGCACGACATTGGACTAGAGTCAAACGTTGATTAAGCCAGGGAGGCGCTAACGATCGTCGGTATACACACGCAGAAAGAATTTACACCTCGAACAGAGGCCACAATTATTAACGGTTTAAATTTTATTTGCATTACTAGCTAACAGTGACTTTATTATTTTTGCCTTAACATTGAACATTCGTTATATCACACTCGGAAATTTCTTTAAGCCAAATATAGAGTGCCTCGGACTTATCCTATACATGAAATCTGAAGATATCGGTTTGAAGTGGTTTGAAGTTGAAGGAGTGTTTGATAAGCGTACTGATAAACGTCTGTCTTTATCGGATTGACTTTAGGCGCATCGGGTGTCTTTAATTAAGCTCTTGTTCATTCGGGGAACGAACTCCGGTTATCGGAATTGTTACATGGCTGTTGTTAGTCGCATCTTAAATTAGAAGAAGTCGATACGGCGTGCTAATGTTACGTAATGCTATTGCAATGTCATTGTTGAAGAAATTCAAGTTTGATGCCCTCGTGAATATTTATAAATTATAGTACACGTGAGTGAAGAATGAGTTTTTCGAGAAGATGAAGAGCTTACATATCATTTATCGTATTTGGAATCTACTTTCATCGAAAAAATGATAACGGTAATTAAAACTCTGTGCAGATAAGATAATACAAACTGAAATTTGTATAGAACTAAATTCTTATTCTAAATTTATTTAAAAAAAATAAAAAATTTTAAGCGAGGATAGTTTCTCAAACAAGAAATGTGCGCTCGCACATAACGTGAAAATTTCTTACCATTTCGTCGAATTGTCAACGTTCAAAGTGGACGCACGTGATTTTAACAACGAAAAGAAACGTGCCACTTAGTCAATTGCTTTCTCTCTTTATATTCACACTTACACTCCGATAGGAAACACGCACTTCATATTTATCGTACATTTATTGTGTTCTTCCTTATCACTAAGTACAAAATATTCAGCACGACACAATATCGCCCACCAAAATCGAAATCGAATTCGATCCGCCTGCAGTAGTTCTCCGCTATCGTCTAGGCAATTGTTCATGCGGCATGCACTGTAAACAAATTCGCTTTTTTGAATAATTCATGTATGGAAAAGATACATTTTTATTGCATACATGACAAGTAGACGGGAGTTATGGCAACGCGCATATAAAGTGATTTAGAAAGTAAAATTAAATGTTATAAGAAACGAATAACTATTTTAATTAGCAGCAATGATTTAATAGTGGAAATAAATTTTTGCTCTTCTACATTACAAGCGGGATTATAATCTTGAAAAAAAAAAATAAAACAATTGCTAACTAGATTAATCAAAATTAAAGGAATCCTCGTTATAAGCTAAGCTACAGATGAATGATAAGAACCGGCCAAAATCAAATAATAAACAGGATGTAGGTTTTAAAATTCCAGTTTATTCGTATACAAAATATAAATTAACTCGGACGTTTCAACTGTACTTAGTCTTCTTCAGAAGCGATTAATCAACTCACACAGATTATTCAACTTATGAACAAAAAATAGAGATGTATAATAGAGAGACGTGAATAATGTTCGAGCTGTAACAGAGGTAAACCAGGTTGGCCCGACACGTCAATTAAACAAATGAAAATGAAATAGCAAAGAGAGGAAGACAACGATTTTACCGCGTTGACAACGATGATCAATTACCGCGTGATTGAAAGGAGGAAACGTCCGATATTATCACGCTCTGTTATATTATTAGTCATTAACATCTTTCTCTGTTTGCTGCCTCTTTTACTCACCGATTTTCCTTTCTTTTTTCTCGTGGAACGCACTGCTCGACGGCAATATTTTCCGTGAGCGGAACACGCGGGCATCTGCTATCTGTCACCGAAGGGAAACCGATACTGAAAATACACTCGGCCGTGACAACGGATAAGAAAATCCTTATCAAGCGATTTGCGCACCCACCTTCGTATCGTCCATTAACGATCGCGAATCCGAATCGCCGCTTATCGCGAGCAGGACAGATAAGACAGTGAAAAAAAGAAATTGATCATCGTCCATTTCTACTTTTCCATCGATTTATTTCTGAGTGATAAGGAGTAGCTTTGTGGAATCTTAATTGCTTATATTTGTAGTGAAATCGGTATTTTACGATAATGTAAAATTAAAATGTGCATAGAGCAGTACTTTTTATACATTACAGATCACTGATGATACTATTTTGAACAATTTAATATATTAAAAAATTTGTATTTAATCTACCATAAATTATTGTGATTTTTTGCTACTTTGCTAATCATTTAGTTTTGCCTCTGGTATTATTTTATGTTCTGCTCTCAGCGTCGCGGTAGTCGTTGTCGCGGCAACACATACTATTTTGTCGGTAATATGGCAGCAACAATGCAGACATGTTTCTATCTGGGTCGTCGTCGTCGTCGTCATCATCTGTCGATATGTCGATGACTAGGTAGTCTCGGTCATCGTTGTC